CCTGTGTGCTACTAAATTTGTAAACCTAAAAGAAATGGACGGATATGTAAAGGCATGGGAACCACCAAAACTAAACCAAGAAGAGACTAACAGCCTAAACAGACCCATAACAAAAAAGACATTGAAACAGTAATACAAAACCTCCCAACTACAAAAAGTCCAGGACCAAATGGATTTACAGCAGAATTCTATTAGACATTTAAAGAAGATCTATATCCAATACTACTTAATTTATTTAAAAAGATAGAAATGGAAGGAGAGCTTCCAAATTCCTTCTACAAAGCCACCATCACTCTAATACCAAAGCCAGGTAAAGACACAACCAAAAAGAAAACTACAGACCCATATCCTTAATGAACACAGATGCAAAAATTCTCAACAAAATACTTGCAAAGCACATACAGACATACATCAAAGAAATCATCCACCATGATCAAGTCAGCTTTATCTCAGAGATGCAGGGATGGTTCAATATACGCAAGTCAATAAATGTCATAAATCATATAAATGGGCTCAAAGACAAGAACCACATGGTCATCTCAATAGATGCAGAGAAGACCTTTGACAAAATTCAACATGCATTCATGTTCAAGGTCGTAGAGTGAATTGGACTAGAGGGAACATAATTAAAGCCACATATAACAAACCCACAGCCAACATCATTCTAAATGGAGAAAAACTGGAAGCATTCCCATTGAAATCAGGAACCAGACAAGGCTGTCCACTATCCCCACTTCTCTTTAGCATAGTACTTGAAACTCTTGCAAGAGCAATAAGAGCAGGAAATTAAAGGAGTAATAATTGGAAAAGAAGAAATCAAATTATCCCTCTTTTCAGATGATATGATATTATATCTAAGAGATCCCAAACATTCCACCAGAAAACTCTTAGAAATTATTAACACATTCAGTAAAGTGGCAGGTTACAAAATTAACCTACAAAAGTCTGTAGCCTTTTTATATACCATTAATAAGCAGTCAGAGAAAGAGTACATGGAAACACTCCCCTTCACGATAGCTGCAAAAAGAATAAAATATCTCAGAATAAACCTGACCAAAGACATTAAAGAGCTCTACAATGAAAATTTTAAATCTTTAAAGAAAGAAATTGAGGAAGGAAGATAGAAGGACCTCTATTGCTCACAGATTGAAAGAATTAATATTGTGAAAATGACCATCCTACCAAAAGCCATTTATAGACTCAATGCACTGCCAATCAAAATCCCCATAACATTTTTGACAGATTTGGAAAAAACCATCCTAAGATTCATATGGAAGCACAAAAGGCCTCGGATAGCCAAAGCAACCCTGAGCACTAAGAGCAATGCCGGGGGGATTACTATACCAGATTTTAAGCTGTATTACAGAGCTATAGTCATAAAAAAAAACATGGTACTGGCACAAAAATAGACCCATAGATCAATGGAAGAAAGTAAGTACATGCAATTTCAGCCACCTGATATTTGACAAAGGGGCCAAGAACATTCACTAGAGGAAAAGCAGCATGTTCAACAAATGGTGCTGGCAAAACTGGAACTCCACCCATAGAAGAATGGAACTAAACCCCTTGCACAAAAGTCAATTCCAAATGGATCTAAGACCTCAATGTAAAGCCTGAAACTCTGAAACTGTTAGAACACTGGCAAAAATCGACATGATATAGGTGTAGGAAAGGATTTTCTAAACCGGACATCAACTGCTCAGGAAACAAGGTTAAGAATCAACAAATGGGACCTCATTAAACTAAAAAGTTTCTGTACATT